CTTTGTGTTCCTGCTGCATTCTGTTGTGAGTTTGGACGACGCAGCGCCGCTGAACCAGAGGAGCTACTACAGGGCACCAACGGCGTGCCACCTTTAGAAGAAAAACAGTGAGAAAAGTTAGCAAACGGTTCAAGATATTACAGACAGCTCTTAGCCAACTTGCATGCCGGAAAATTGCATCATCAACACACGCTACCATATTAAAGCGATAAAAATTAATAAAAGAAGAGAACGTTCGAATCAATCAATCAATTAATTAATTGAACCATATTTGTTGCGAATTAGTAAGTGTATTTATTATAGTATGTATTTATTAAAATATGCTAAGGAAAGTAATGGAAAATGAAAAAGGTAAAGAAACTGCATGCAATAATCTAAATCTTAAGTAAAGGAATGATAATCCCTCACATTTGTTTAATCTTAGATGGGTGTAAGACGCGAGTCAATGAGATCAGTCTTGAGGACACGATCACATGGATAAACCGAGACTTTAATTTACTTTAGCAAGGTTAACAAATTGTTATCACATGTGGAAATAGTTCAACGTGACACAGAGTGCGCCTGCATGAACCGATTCCATTCTTATAATGGATATCTTATAAGAGTAAACATTAAAATGTACAATATATACTCAAGGAGCCATAAAGTGCTAATTTAATAATCTTGTGCATGGTGTAAATGGAATTGTTGCACTAATTGACATCAATTCACTTGCAACCGCAGCAATTGCTCTAGCACACAGCTACGATTTTCAGGCGCATTTAAAAAGCAATCAAGAAAACGCTTTTAGGTGCCACTGTATTATCATATATCTACCAACTCTTAACGTTAATCTTCAAATGTACTCAGCGTTATGGACCCTTCTAAATACTTCAAAGAGTCACTTGCAACTTAGCTTTGATCTAGCACACATCTACGATTTTCAAGCGCATTTAATTGGCGTACAAGAAAACGCTTTTAGGTGCAATTAAAAAGGCTTTGAACAAGTCCAAAGTGAAGCAATTGGTAAAGACAAGGAATGATGTAACATTTAATGGATGGAATCTGATAAATGATTGTTAAAACTTATATTGACTGTGTCAACACTATATAGGCAAAGATCAAATCTAAACTATGATAATTTAGCAAACCAAATAAAAATGTATTTTTACATTCCAGTAATTAGAATGGAAAAATAGAATATATAAATAATGGTATTACTATTAAATATTTTTCCAATCAAAAGTAAAAAGAATGGATATAAAACACCAATTCTAATATAATATTGATAAATCTTTGGTACAAAACAATAAATAGGCACATCGAATGCAATGTATATACTTAAGTCAAATGCACTACGCTTTTAATTGGCGTTAACAACGAAATGAAAAATTATGAAAATACTTCAATATTCAAAACGACTTAAAAATGAAAATGTGATTTGGCATTTTTTTTTTTTTTTTTAGTTTTTTTGCGAACGATAAGCACCTGGCACCAAAGGTACAGAAGAATTTCCTACGGCAGGAGGCGCGGGTATTTGACCGAAGACCATACCGTGACGACCTCCTAGAGGTCTACCGGGTATGTGACCTATATAATAACGATACAATTGGATGGTGAGTTGAGAAAGAGAGTTGATGTGTGCGTTAGGAGGCGGAGGAGTAACAATTGTGACAGAAATAACAGAAACATAAAATCGTAAACAACACAAAGCTGAAAGATATTATAAATTAAATGATGTACAGCAATACAATAAGGTAATTGATATTGAGACAATGTATATGTAGTTATTATAATATATATGCATACAATATATTAAGTTTTTTAGTATTTTGTGTTTGCGTGTATATAAGTATGTGTGTGTGTGTGTCATATACATTAAGTTCGTGAGTATTAGTAGCGCATTTTATTGCTAGTTTTATTTTCTTTTCCCTTGCTTGGGCGAGACAACTTTTAATGTTTTGTGCAGGGCGTGCTTTGTACTGTTACAGTTGCTGGAAAGTTGTTCAGGGCGCGGTTATTTACTTTAGTTTTAGGCTGAGGAGTTGGTAACATTTTTGGTTTTACTTGCTTCTTATATATGTATGCAAATGTTTTGTTTCGACATTGTTGAATTTTGGTATGTTTTTTTTTTTTTTTTTTTAATTTTTTTTTTATACGTTAATTTTGAAAAGTAATTAACGAAAGAACAGATAAACAACAAAACACAAAATAATAACAATGATAAATACGAAATATCGAGAGAGTTTAAATCCTGATGAAGTTAAATCTTATCCTGGACGAGTTTGTCTTACCTTGCTGCGTCAACTGTACTACGGCGGCGGGTAGCTTCGTGGAGACGGCGACTGGCGTCGCACCAACTGCTGGTATCTTTATCTCCGCCTCCGGTGGCAATGCATTACCGCTCGTCTCCACTAAGCTGCTGGTTATCGGCAATACTCCAGTTGCTGCTACTGTTGTGGTAGTTGTTGTAGTTGGCCCACCGCGGTTTGGACTTGACGACGCTGTCGCTGTTACTGCAGTTGTATTGCTGCCAGATTTCGTTGGCAACAGAGATTGCGTATTCTAAGAAAATTTAAATTTAAAAGGTTAGATATGTTAACTAAGGATTCTACTAGAAGTAGTTGATCGCACGAATATTTGTTTAAGCTTGTATGATTACCGTTTTTGTTTGTGTGCTGTTATCTGTCTCTAACTGTTTGCCCGTTGTCCCTGTACTGGTTGTTGTTGCAGTTGCAGGGCTGCTGCTACTGCTGCTGTTACTATTACTAACGACTGAATCCGAGGATTGCTGCGGTTGTTGTTGTGTTGGTTGTTGCGTTGTTCGGTGTCCTTGGGCCACAGCTGCTGCTGCGGCGGATGTGCTTGGCTTTTCCTCGAGTATCAGCTGCTCGATACGATTCGCATTGCTATAGCTGATGAACTGCGGTGTTGGTGTCTTTTTACGCCACGCGGGGTAGTCCATCATACTGCCACCGTTTTGTAAATAAAAGTATTCCGACACATTTTCAAGATGCCTGCGAATCGAAAGTACCATTTTAAAAATGTTCCCAAATTTGTCTGAGTCGTACTTACCTTTCCTTAAGATTACGCAAAATTTGATATTTCTGTTGGAGAATGCGCTTCTTGAGCGCATTCAAGTCCTGTAGTGCCGTTGAAATGGCCCCACCAACTTCGCTGCTGGCCACAACCGACGCTGGCAGTAAAGAGCCAACGATGTTGCTGCTAACGGCTCCAACAATGTTGCTGTTGTTATTGTCACTGGCGACCTCGCCTCCCACTTCCGTGTCTTCTAAACGCTGACGCTTTGCCTGGGGCGGCGATATTGACTCTGAAACGGAGGTATCTGCTTTTGCTGAATTGGAGGAGTATGTGGAAGCTGCTGCTGGCGTTGCGGCTGCCGTTGCCTCTGTCGACAAGTTCGACAGCGGCACAGGCAGCTGCGCACTGAGCAGCTGCTGCTGTTGTTGTTGTTGTTTGCTGGGTTTCTGCTGCGTTGTTGCTACTGTTGATGTTGCTGATGATGATTTATTGTTGTTGTGTGCAGTTGCTGTTGATTTTGGCGTTGTAACTGATTTTTCCGTTGATTGTAACGTTACACGGTCTGACACAGCAGGAGGGGCCGGGCTTAGCCCTTCATGCCCCCCTCCTGCTGAATTACCTTCATTCATGTTTGAGACATCTGAAAAAGGCGGGAAAGAAACATTATAGCCACCACTCCAAATTATCGCGTGTTGCGTTTGACAGCGCACATTTGGCAGCCCTGGATAGCAGATATGTATGAACATACGTATGTCAGCGCCCAATAATGTACAGCTATATAGTATCTTTATACTATTTCTCTTTCTGCTGCGTAAGCATTACATTTAAGACTTTTTCAGTGATAATATTTCATATCGCGTATCATATAGGCAGCTTGCATCCCTGCAAAATGCAATCGATTTGCAACTGTGCATTGCAAATGGCTGCGCTTCCTTTTTTTCATCATACACACACACGGGTTGTATAGAAATATTTTTATTGCACTTGGTCATTATTAATGAAAATTATTTTTATAAAACTGCACGTTAATTTTAGGATGGCTACCAGTTGTTGGTTGCGGCACTTTTCAAGCATGCTAATCGAATGACCGATGCTAGAATGAGACGGCTATATTTGTATGTCTGCTGCTTCTACGTCGGCGTCGGTTCTTTGTTGGGCAGAAATTTTTCAACCATTTTTTTTTTTCCTACCTCAGATGGGGAAAATTTTTAATCACAAAATATCCACATCACAAATATGCATCCGTGCGTAAAAACAATGCTGGCGCGTTGCAAAAATTGTGCTGTAATCGCGAATGCAATGATTCTTCAATATTTTCGCCTATTTCTGCACTTAAAATATTTTTTTTGCAGAAAAGTGTGCGCAAACACACCATTCAGCGTCGAGGTACATAGAAGAACTAGTGATGTACCGAAAACATCGCAATACAAAGCATTTCCGATAACGATAAATATCCCACCGTACAAAAGTGGAGAAGTGTAGAGCTGCATACGCGCCTAACGATAACTTACACTGGCTGGTAAAATTAGCCCTAAAATTTCCGATAACTTGAATTCATTGAATAATGTGACCGCCAAAATGGACAAATGTAATTCGGTTAATTTAAAAATTTCATTAAGGAATATTGCAAGAGATTTTGAATGGTATCCTTTTCACTAAAATGTGATTAAAATGCTTTTTAAATTCTTTATTATTTTTATTTAAGAACATGTGCACATCTTTTTGAGATTCATATCTTTGACGGTAAAAAAAAGTCATAAAATAAGTGATTAATACTTAAGTTGAGCAAGGCGAGTGAAATTGAGTCCCACCTTGACCCATCAAGCGTATATACAGATTGCCATGCGATAAGAAAAATGGCGAGTGAATGCGAGCCATGTAGACGAGCGAACTTTGCTGTTTATTTTGATTATTTACTTTTCTTGTTTTGTATTTGCCTCTTGAGTTTTGTTGTCTATATAATAATCTGGTTTGGCGGGAAACACGCGTCTAAATTGAGCTCAGTTTCTCAACAGATGCTGAAGGCAATGAACACGAATTCTGCATTTTTGGCAATTTTCCTACTCTCAGCATTGTCGGCTCGGGCGGCGCCTACGACCGAGTACTGTGACAATGGCACTGGCGAGTGCAAGGAGCTCACAGCCACAGACTGCCCCGTCCTCTTCTATATTGAATTTATTATCGGAGCCAACAAGATTAAATACTGCGACAAGGTTAAAGACATTGTTTGCTGCCCGCTGCCACTGAATGCACAGAAGCGAGTGATGACGCCAGCCGATCCGAGGAAGCTGTACGAAAAGGGTGAGAGAAGCGAATGGTTAGAAATAATATTTATGTTAATTGAACATTGTTTGTGGATATTCGCAGAGTGCCGTCGATATAATGATGTGCGACCCACCTGCCGCTCCACGCCACTCATTTTGGGTGGCACCGAGGTCAAAGGTCGCGAGTATCCCTTCATGGCGCTGCTGGGCATACAACAGCCAGGCAGCTCCACCATTAGCTGGGATTGTGGCGGCACCTTAATCCACCCGAAGTTTGTGCTAACTGCAGCCCATTGCCTGGAGACAACCGAGACGAAGGAGCAACGCCTAGATCCCAATTACAAATCACCCAAATTCGTGGTACGCCTGGGTGAATTGGACTACAACAGCACCACAGACGATGCCCAGCCCCAGGACTTTCGGCTAGTCAACTATGTGGTGCATCCGGCCTATGATGAGAATGAGGATGATGGCAGCCGCCTAAATGACATCGCGCTGCTCGAGCTGGACCGAAATGCCACACTCAATGAGTATGTGGCGCCGGCCTGTCTGCCCTCCAGCAGCGGCGACGAGCCCCTCGATCTGACTGCCGCTGGCTGGGGCTACACGAAGAATGCGGGCGACAAATCCTCAAAGCTGCTGCAAGTGGGCCTCAAGCGCTACGGCGACCAGGTGTGCAGCGAGCGACTCGAGAGTCGCATCGTATCCCGCACTCAGTTCTGCGCTGGCTCCGGCTCAGCGAGCAGCCAGGCAGACACCTGCAACGGCGACTCTGGCGGACCCATCTTCGTGCAGCACCCGGTCTACAATTGCCTAACGCAGGTGATTGGCATCACCTCGTACGGCGCCATCTGCGGCAATTACAAATTTCCCAGCGTCTACACCAAGGTTCATCTTTATACGGATTGGATTGAGAATATTGTCTGGGGCGAGTGATGCAAATTACTCCCGAGGATTATATCTGGAGGAAACCTGCTTTTTGTCTGAAGCATTCAGTAAATGAACTCCATATTAAGTTAATTATATTAATTATATTTTTATAATTTGTTTACACTTTAGATTATTATAATAAAATATTTATAAATAAATATGTTTGATTAACATTAAGTGCGAGAGTGCGACAAAGAAAAAGGAAAGTATTTCCTCTAAGTTACTCTTGGAATTCAGCCAAGAGAGAATTTCCTCTAAGTATTTCCTTTAAGTCTTTAATGCTCAGCTGAACACTCACACACATCGCTTCACTTTACTGCACTGCACGACTGACCCTCACTAGACCTGGGCGACTGAAGAAATGCTGCAGCAGCTGCCCTTTATATAGGGCGACTTTTACTCAAACCCTAAAGTGCTCTCAAATATTGATCTCGGCGATAGGTAGGGATCGTTGCAGCCGACCAATGGGAGCACTCTCTGCTGCTCCCATCACTCTAGCTTCGTTTTACTCAAAAATAAAAACCGAAGGCATGCTGCTGCATACATATAGACGACTTGAATGATCTTCGGTAGCCTTTCTTCGTCTCTCGTTGTTGTTAGGCAGACAGATAGAGAGACGAACAGATAAATAGGGAAACAATCGTATTCCCTCAAACTCTGATTAAGAATTTGCTGTGGCTATATGTTGATATTCTTATGTACGTTAATATTTATAATTATTAAATGACATAGACAGCGGTTTCTGCTGCTCGATAGTTCTCTCAAGGACTAGCCTCTCTCAATTTCTGGCTATTTCATTTCCCTTTCCTCTTTTTTTTTTTTGCCGGCAATAAACATTATTTTTATTCTATATGTATTTATTCTATGCATTATACATAAAGTATTGTAATATATAAAAAATGGGAGGGGAGAAGGTATCCAAATTCCGAAATATTCAAAATTTGTGTATTTATCAGAGAAACTCGCACAGTAAATTTTAATTTTGCTTTTTTCTTTGTTCCGCCATTCAATGCATAAAAAACATAGTCAAATTATGCAAAATACGAAAGTCGAATGAGTTATCGAAAAAGAAATAATACACTCGTGCCTCTTATGAAATATATACTTAAAATTTTATGGTTATAGCTGCTGTGGCTTACGAAATCTCTACATACATTTAGATAAACAGTTAGATTGACGGATATATATATATACATATGTGGATGTGCTTCATCCTTTTCAGTAATATATGTATATTAATTATGGTGTCGGCCACGCCTTCTTCTGCCTTGATCTCACATTGATATTGGCTTTAAAGTATACACAAATGTCCTTTGTGAGTTCAGTCGAAATTCCTATGAAAAGAAATACTTAGGAATGAAGCATTGCTTCGTAATTTCTATTTCCAAAATTCATAAATTATTTGTCTACAACCAACTTGAGTTATATTCTAGACATCAGCCATATAAAATACAATTTTGTTTATCGAACATTCTCGTATTTCCTGTCTTGACTCTATAAATAAATAAATGAGTATATAAAAAACTAATTAAAATAGATTTGAAGTAGAAAAAGTCTTGAATATCTTGTTTAACTTTTGTTAGCTTTAATTGCAACAAATTGTGTAAAAATCAGTTAACAAATATAACATAGATGGGTATTAATTTAGGGTATACGATTACTTAACATACTTGGGTTGGGGAGGGAATGTGCAAATGTGTGGATGTGAGGGCGATTATATAATTATAATGTGTATCATAGAGTATGGATTACAGATATTCGATATTCAGATATTCGATTGTCGATTCGGGTTGAGTGCAGTGCGTTGTGCGTTGATTCGACTCGACTTAAGGCTAAAACACAATAATTAAAAGCTAAGTGCTAGAGAGGACCCTGTAGAAGACCAGTGACAGCCATAGCCATTGCTGTTGATTGCGCATGGTTGTTGATTAGATTAGATTAGATTAGATTAGATTTAATTTCAGCGGATTCCCAGAGGTTTGAGGACTAGACGCGCTTGTAGTTCTTGTAGTAGTTGCGGCGCTGCGCCTCATCGCTGCGTCTCCTGGCTGCGATCTCCTTCTTCTTGATCTCGCGCTGCTGGTAGACGAAGAGCGGCCGGAAGACGATGGCGCGACGCTTGCGGTCCCGACGACGACTCTTGGGCTGATCGGCAGCTGCCAGCTGCTGCTCATCCGCCTTCAGCTCGGGCTCTGGCTGCAGCTCCACTGAGCGCTGCGGCCGATTCCTGAACAGATTCGTCTTGGCCGAGTCGTGGGCGTAGAGCGTGCTCAGGAAGTCAAAGTAGGGCTTATTGCGCAGACTGTCTGGCTGGGCCAGCGGCGAGTTGTAGCTGAACTGGTTGGGTGTCTCGATGTCCAGCAGCGCATGGGGTCCCTCCTGTAGCTGTTGCGGATTTTGGGGCATCGCTGACGATAGGCAAACAATGCCCAATGCCACGGCCAGGGTGTAAAACTGCGGAAACAAAATAAAACAAAGCAAAACATGACGAAAATCAGTAAAAACAAAAGCAAGAGAAGGTGTGAATATAACTTGGAGGCCACGAATCGGTAGCCAGCTGTAGATAGGCGATAGCAATAGCCAGTTGCCCGTAGATAGTTAGGTAGAGAGTTACGTTCTGCAAACTGCTAGAACCTGTCAAGCATATGCTTCGAATTAGCATACAATAATTAATTTAATTTAAACTAACAAATATCGGTGATATAATCGCAATCAGAGTTAATTTATGTTTGCACGTAATATATTCATGATCACGAGAGAGTGTAAGACTCGATTGGCTCTATGATTATCCCACTGGATGCTAATTACATATGGTAATACAGATGCCAACCCAACCCAACCCAACCCTTAAATCCATAATTGAATATGCTGCGCCCTTGACTAAGCCAGAACCGGATGCATGTTTTGGGTAGACAGTGGAAACACTATCTCTATATATATATGTAGTATATAGTGTGTATATATGTGCATTTAGACACATAGACAGGCTTTAATTTATGTATCACAATTCGATTTTGGTGTGTTAATGAAATTAGTCTTATTCTTAGAGGACAAATTAAAGACTAAACAAAAATCAAAACCGGATGATATCTATCTTAAAGTCAAACCAGATTTCGGCGTAGGTGAATGAGCTGGTAGACGTTCAATGACAGCTCAGCTGGAGGCTAATCCAGCTAGCATATATATCGTATATATGTCTATATAATTTATCTCTTACTTGCTAAGTTTCACTGCTAAAATTAAATTAACTCCTTTCTACGCATGTTATTTGGCTTAAGCAAAACATCAGATAAATATATATGTATTCATATACACACATACATATATATGGTTTTATGATTCACGATCGGAGATCTGCATAAATTTCTGCATTGATAATAGCAAAGTTCGAGCCGCGGACATAGACAAATGTTTATTTCTTTCGGCTAATTATGTAAATTTTTACAGGCTGAACCACTTTAATTAATTGACTTCGTATGATATATGTTAGCGGTTAAGCCAAAATAAAACTAAATGAAAAAACAAAATAACTCTCAGCAAAATACCGAGAAATAAAATAAATAACGTATCTGTATCTTTGTATCTGTATCTGTATCTGAATCTTAGTCTCTGTAACCGGTTGCGCTTTAGTGGCTCAGGGCTAACCCATAAGATGTATAGCACTTGTTTATTTTTTATCTCTCTGTATATGGTGTGAATACCCTGTGTCCAAAAGCTGCCCCAAGAATGGGTATAATAAGGAAGCACTTAGTCAGCGCCAAAGCTAGCGCCAGTCATAACTGATTTTATAGAGTAAATATTATGCTAATATATGCACGTATACATATATTAGGCGGGCTTGACGAGGTCTAGACAGGTGAGAGAGAAGATAGCTAGACAGATGGAGAAAGAGATAGACATAGAGGAGAGAGAGAGAGACTTACAGACAAGGAATTAGAGCGAATTCGAAATTGAGAAGGAGATGGTGGGATAGAAATAAAGAACAGGTCAAAGAGAGAGGGACTTTAAATAGATCGAGAGAGAGATATTTAAGGAAAGCAAGATCTTGGGAGAAACAGAGACAGATTGACAAACATATAGATATTTATAGAACAAAAAGAGATGCAGAATGGAGTATTCAGAGAATGAAAAAGAGGTATGGAGATACTGATAGAGAGTAAAGACCGATATTCAGAGATTAAACATAAGAAATAAATTGTATTSAACAAGAAAATCAGTAATAGATAATAATAAGTGAGAAAAGGAAAAAGAGCCCGATAGAAAAAGCGAGAGACGGTTTTCTGAAAGAACCAAATTTGCTTATGCGTAATTAATATTCAGATATATCTGTTACCAGTTCTCTTTATAAAATAAGCCTAAATATTTATTTATCATATGAATAAAAAACCTGAATATATTATTGTTATAGCCTGGGCTATAGCCTGAACGTTTGGAGCAATAATGATTTCAAATTTAATATGCAATTTATAGCATCAACAAAATTATTGAAATATTTAAATGTTTTTACGTTTTAATAATAAAGTCAATAACTCCTACTGAATATTTGAAACGTATATCCCTTTTATGAAATACAATGTGAATATCGATCGATATATGCCCTAAAAAAATAAAGTTCAAGGCTGAAATATGTTGCCCAAGTTTCGCATTCTACTTCAATGTTTTCTAATTAAATTTAAAGTAAACTCAAGCCTCGCTTATTTTTATGCTTTAAGCAAAATTCTCTTAGCAAATCGAATCGCTGCCGCAACTAATTTTATGAGCTATGCTTGGACTTTGACTTCCTCATGAAGTGCATAGAGTGGTCTATTAGTAACTCGACTGTATTACAGATTTGTGCAGCAATAAAAAATTAACTGGTTCAGAAACAAGAATAACTTAAGTAAAAATGTTTTTTTGGCCTTGTGCAAAAGACTTGAAAAATATATTTCAAAAAATATTTAAAAAATATATATAAAACAATAAAATGCATAAAGTCGTTGGGTTAAGCTTTTTTAATTAAGAAATATATGTATGCAAATACATACATATGTACTTATATTTTGCAATTAATTTTTATTTACTTTTTAATGCAATTTTTATTGGCGAAAATTCGAAAATTTCGAAAGGCTAATGAAACGCGTTTGCCGTTACTCAGATCTCAAATCTCGAATGTAATCAGATAAATAATCGTAAATTCGCTGCAATACTCACTTGTTGGCTTAACGAGCACATGTTCTGTTTTTTATAATTGTATATATTTTTAATATTATTTTGATTTTGATTTCGAGTCTTTTATCCTTAACACACTCGAAAATGTTGTTTCAATTGCGCACACGCGATTTTCGCTTCAATTTCTTTTCACAATCGTCTAATGATAATTTATTTAATCTGTCTGCGCCTCCGTCTGTCTGTCTGTCTTATCACATATATTGAGAGCGCGATATTCGATTAGTATTTGTATTTGTATTTGCTTGATGTTGTCGCCGCTAAGCGTGCGTCTTAACTGTTCAGAATATTTGTCACAAATTCACTTTTATATATGGCCAACAGCCTCCGCCTGCCGCCCTCGCTCAGCGCAGCGCAGCGATGTTAGCCACGTTAAGATACAGCCGAACGGGTTTCAGCTGGCTGTGGTTGTTGCTGCTGTTGTTGTTGTTGTTGTCGTTGTCGCTTTGGCTGCTGGTGTGAAGTGCTGTCGATGTCACGAAGCAGCCAAGGCGCTGCTCGCCGAGCGGGAGACAGGGACTCGCAAGTGGACTGTGTCCAGTGCACCACTTGAAGGCTCTCCCACTTCATGGCTCTCGCCGCGAAACTTGTCCAAAAACTCGATTTCAGTTTGTCTCTGTTTTCGGTTGGGTCACGACAAATTGGCTGCCTCGGGGGCGGAGGCTGCGCGCACTTTCCTAGTTATCATCGTGCTGCGCCTCTTGCGGCTGCTATTAAGCTCTTGTGCGCGTATGAAGAGGAAACGGCAAACAAAAACAGATTTATTATTATTATAGTACGGACGTTCGCTGAGAAATGGGGATATTAGCTATGACAAGCAGCGGCCTCAGGTTACATACAATATCTTTATACACAAATATTATTGTTAGGCATTAGTAAGAGAAGTCTAAATATATCATGACAGTATTATTCATAAGTATTAGTAAGAGCAGCCTGAGTACAGTATGTTTTTAGACTTCTCCTACTAATATTTAACAATAACAAAAATATTCGTATATGCATATATTAACTCAGAGATATCTACTCCCATTGAAGTAGCGCCATCTGTGTGAACCTTTCAGGGGTCAACTGTGTGTTGATCAAATTTCTATATAATCATTGGGTTGGTATTGAACTATTTGAAATATTTATGTATTATGTAAGCAATTTAAATCTAATCAATATGACCACGCTATATGTCTGTTTAGGAAAGAGACACTGAGATGGAAAGGCAGGGGTAAAAAGAAAGACGAAGAATTCACGCCTGACCTTACATAATTCAGTTTAGACTTTTATCTCTATCTATAGATATTATAAACAGACAATTTTCTTCAGATTTATAAACTCTTTTTACTCATTATAAACTACTTTAAAAAAAAACTCCATACTTAGGAGTAGAATGATCTCTTTTCAATATTAGATTTCATTATAGTCGATCTATCCTTAAGTAATATTATTATTTAACTATTCCTGTATGGAAACTTTTAGAGCCTTTCACAATTTTTATATCTATTGATTTCTGAGAATCTCTTGACTAGCATTGCATGTCATAAAAGTGCCCCATCCCAAGTGTATATAAACTTCGTTTTGGGTCATATATTAATTTCTATTTACATTCGATTGCTGTTTGTTTCGGAACAAAATGTTTGCCTTTCGCATTACGTTCAATTAAATCTTTCCATGACGCAGGTACTAATCAAAGCAAAGCAAATCAAAGCAAATCAAATCAAAGCAGAACAAATTTATGACTCTCTTTGACGCAAAGGATTAGGGCGTGTTATGGCGTGGGCGTGGCGCTTAAAAACAATACGGAAACAGGCAGTCGTGCCGGCTGAGATCTCGGAGCTGTCGCTGCTAATCGGATAGCAAATCGGAAGCCCGAATTTTAATAACCTGTCGTAGCTCATTAGGCAAATGATCTGAGCCAAGCTGATCCGCTTGATGACGCACAGTCGGAAAAGTGTCAACACGGCTGCGCCGCTCTTGAAAATGTGATCTCAGGTGTGGCGAAGGTTAAGCAACTCAGCAAAGATACCAAAATTTGGGACAGTTGACAGTGGCCAGCGATGCAGCAGAGCGAGCCAAAGCAAACGCCAATTGAAATGAGCTCGAATTGGAATTGGAATTGGAATTGGAATAACTCCAAGTGGATTATCTACACGTGATTTATGATTCCGCATCAAATCAATCTCAAAACTAAAACGAAGCTGTCAACGCCCGTGCTCAAATGCCAGTAAACAAATGGTGTTTTTTATGCATTTTTATTTTGTTCAATAAATTTAGTTTAATTTAATTGATTTTTAATTAATTTCAGCTGAGAGCCGGTTTTGCGAAATCTTCACATACAAATGTCAAAGATTAGCACCCAGAGATGAGCAACAACAGGAGAATACCCTGTAAATAGTGCACTGTTTGCCTGTCACTCGCCTACAGGGTGTTTACTCATTAAAATTCTTGTTAACTGGCAAGGAAATTAGCACAATTAGATGAGCAATTGCATTTGGGATGACATTTCGATTGAATCATCTTTATTTCCACCCAACTAATTGATAGAAATATGGGCTGGACCCCCTGATGCTTATAGCCCAGTAGCTTCCGTATAAAAGGTGCTAAACGGATATCAATGTGATTGTGAGTGTGAGTGTGAGTATAAATGTGAATGTGAGCGTGAGTGTGAGTTGGGGTTGGAGTGATTGGTACTGCGGTTTGGGCAGTAACTGGCACCGCCCGACGGGCTAAACATTTTCTTTTCACTGGGTCCACTGGGAATCACGAGGTGATTCATGTTGATCCATACACTTGAACCCATTTGTCCGGTTGGCTAAAGTTGAGCTAGGGCAAGGCGAGAGCCAATCCAGTTGTTTGCTTTCGCCACTCAGCCAATCACCAAATAGATGGCAGTAGTGCTTTGGCTTAGGTATGTCAGTTTTATTGACTGTTTCACTTGACGTGTCGAGGTCTGTTTATTTTTTGCAGCGTACGTCACTCCAGATCGTTCAATTATCACAATTATCACACGTCACAATGGCTTGGTGGATGGAAATTTAAGACTATTGTGCCTAATTAAAAACATGTTGCCATTCCATTAGCCAGCCTGCTAATAAATCATCTATACCGTCAATCATTTCCTAAATTCAATTAAGGACTAGATTAGCATGTCGTTGACGGCATCAGTTTTATGGTTTAAATTACGCGGTCTTCTGCCAAATAGGTGGCAGCGCTGCGTAGAGTTGAGGTTGGAGCAAAACGGGAAGGCAACAGCTTGAAGTTGGCTGCGCGCAATTGCGTACATGTTCGATGTTGGATGGTAACAGCTGCGGACACGTTTGACGCCAGCTGCACAGCTTCAATCGAACTGGTATGAAGTTGGCTGTGCACAGCTTTGAGTTGGTTTGCTGTTAGCTGTCCGCACATTTTCAAAAGATGGGAAATTTTCTTGAGAGTCAATATTTTATTTTATTTGAAAGATAATAATTAATTTCTACAAAGTTTTCTTGAATTTCAGCATATATTATAAACCAAATAAACTAAATTTTTACAATTTAAAATTTACAAATTTTTATTAATATAATAATAAATGATAACAAACACACTATTATTTAATATTCACAACAATATATTTTAGTATTAGATTTCAATTAATAAAATTAAATTGTTGTAATAATAAAAAAGGTACCAATACTTGGTACAAGAGTACCGAAACCGGCATGAAAATTTCCCACTCGCTACTGTTATGTTAAAATTGCTAAGAGTGTGATAACAGAGAAGATCTCTTAATGGCACCGAATATCGTAAGTCCCTGTTAGTATTAATTGAGTTCTTTTTTTTCGTTTGTGTGCTTATTCACTTTGTTACAAAAATTGTTAGTGTCCAAATCTTTATTTTTATTTAAAAAATACACACTGTTTAATACAGGTGGAGGTGCCGGTATTTCTCACTTGTGGATTAATCGTGATCGTTCGCCATCAACTGGGGTTTTTCTGTTATTTCGCGTTACTGCGTGCAAAGTGGTAACATTTTTACTTCGTAGAAAAATTCATTTTACTGATCGGTGCGGCGTCAGTGTTTGCGGTGTGCGTGAGTGTACATACATACAAGCATTCAGCATACATACATGCACATGCATGCATAAGTACGTATGTATGTATGTATAAATGTAGAATTATAGCATGTTCTGYGAGTTGTGCTGCTGCTGCTGCTATTATTCGGTCTTGACAAACACAAAACACACTTTAATATTTAACTAATATTAATAACTCGCACACACGTAATCGCAACACCAACTCGTCTGGGCATATTGCTTATTTCACTTCAATATGCTATCCACAATTTGCAATTGGCGAATTCGCTAAGGATCAGAGCTCACACATTTGTACATACATACATACATACATATGCATAAACGTGTATGCTCAATTTGATCTGACTATGATTTTGATTACTGTTTACTGCAATCGTTTTACAATTTCCTCTTCTACCACACGCATGCTGCTGCTCTGCAGCACGTTTTATGGCAAAGGGTATGAGCGCTTCGTTCGCATCTCATGAAACAGCACCGAAATTTTTAGCTATAATAATTTTTTTTTTTAATTTTATTTTGTTGCTCTTCGTTTGGATTGCTCTCTTGTTACTGTTGTCGTTGTCGCTGTTGCCGTCGTTGATTTTGTTATTATTATATATGTATGTACATATGTATGTGTGTGCGTGTGTTTGTTGTTACTGTTGCTTTCGGTTGCGATTAGAATTAATTGACAAATGGCAAAAAAAACACAAAAAGAGAGCGAAAATGTTGCTTTTGTGCTCTTGCGCATGCAGCAAAAGCAATAAAAACAAAATCAAAAGCAAGCCACAAAGGAACGGCAATAACAGTTGGCATTGGTAACTGGCAAGCGGCGAATAAGCGAATATATTATAAATACATGTTCAAACAGAACAGAACTAAATAGCAATCATCATAGCCTACGCACAGGTCGTTGACCGACGACAACAACAACAACCCGCAGCAACAAGTTATAAAAATAAAAACTATAAAGTCAAAAGAGAATAGTGTCAAGCCAGAAGCAAAAATAGGCATAGAGAGCTACATAATATCTATAACATATCGCGCAAGCGAAATTCACACCTGTTACACGCGCAGCAGGCTTAGTTATGTTATGTTAACAGCCTGTTAACCCTGCAGTGACCCTGGGCACTGTTAACAGCCGCTGCAAACTGATCTCGACATTTACCCTTGCACTCATGTTAACCCTTGGGTGGCTCCCTCTGAAATTAACCTTTTTTTGTATCTCCCTTATATATATTGCAGAATTGCATTCTATTCACAAATAAGTCTAAGACAATATAAATCTCAAATGGCGTCTGTATCACAAAGCAAACGACAAAAAATGTCCGAGCCACAATGTGAGGAGGATAGTGTACCGTTAAACTATAAGGAATTGGATATTATTGGCACAGGTATGTTTTTACTGATATTAAGAAAAAATTACGAATTTAAGTCATTCGATAAAATATTTTGTAAAATTTGAAACAAATTACAAATAAGCTTTGATTATATGTATTTGAGCTTGATTGAATGTAGGGAATGTACTTCATGCGTGTTAGCCTAACAAAAACTTGTTATTCACTTGAGAACCCGTATCGAATGCATTGAGAAGGGGAAATACTGGATTCCCAACTACACAAACCCCTTCCAAGTTAGGAAAAATAGGGGTTTACAAATACTGTTGCATACTTTCAGGTCGACCAACCCACTTGCATTTCGGTCTGAAAAGAAACTGAAAAATAAATATTGAATTTAGTGCACCAGGTGCAACGGCCAGATAAGAATTAAATAAACAAGCCAAAATTTTATTGCCTCATTTATCTTTTATGTTTTGTTTCTTCTTTATTTAAACAAAATCTGAACATAAATCAATTACGTCACAGAGGTTGGGTTGAGTGTTAAGAGAGCTGGGATTAGAGCTTGTTAATGATGCTTATTATTATCAAAATATATGTATTTTTTATATTTTTGTTGCTAAGGGGCGTGTAGAACGACTCCCCAAAAGGCGTGGCAACAATGGGTTAAGCGCACAACTTTCACATTAAATGGCTCTTGCAAAAGCAGATCGAGTTACATTTTAAGCGATTTCGGGAAGATAGTTAAGTAAGTGCTGCTTTAACCCCCTCCCTCGGCATCCTGCCCCCTGACAATCCCCTCTCCCCTCTTGCTCGACACAAAAAAACAAGTTAAACTTATTTCGTAAAGACACTGGAAACAAAGTTATGCCCGTGCTTTTGTTGCTTCATTTTGTCATGCTGCCTTTTCGCATTTATTCAATTATTGCTCGCTTGCTTTACGTTTTTGGGTTTCGGCTATTGCTTGTCATTGTTGTTATTGTTGTGTTTGGCTTTGGTTTTGTGCACAAATGTGACAATTGACAGAGAAGGCAGATGACTAAAACAAGTCGGCGAAAAATAGTCGAGTGAGTTTTTGCTGTTATTGTTGTTATTTAGTTTGTTTCCCCGTTCCCAGTTCTCCGTTCCCTTGTTTTGTTTTGCATTATTGTCATACTTTCCCATTGTACTGCATTGTTGTGTGCCGAGTGTGAACCTGGCCTTGTACTTGACTTTTGCAGCCGGCAGTAGTCGGCGAAATATGTGTGCGCGAGTCATCGTATCCAAATCGAAGACATGCGGAACATATCGAAAGCGAATGTCAACCAAAATAGAAGAACTCCCACGCCTCATGCCAATTGCTTTCCGTGCGCTCTCCCCTATTTCTCTTTCTCTATATCTTTCACTGTCTGAGTTGGCTGGCCCACCCGGTCATAAATTTCCGGTGACAAAATGAGTCTTCATCTGATTCGATTCTTATTCCACATTCCTGCATCGCGCTCTTTCTCTCTATCTTTTCATCACTCTCTCTATGTTATGCTCTCACTGCTGTTACCGCTCTCCCACGCTCTCGCTCGTTTTCGGCTACGCAGATATCTTCAAAAAATCAGCCGGTTTACTTATCAACACAGCTGACGGCATGTTTTTAGTGTATTTTGTTATTGTTTTTTTTTTCTTTCGCCTTTTGCTTTTTGCTTTAGGTTCTGGGTCTGGGCTTTGGGGCTGGCATTTGCAATGTACGTATTTGTGTGCGAAATTTCTAGTTCATAGCATTGGCAAAAAAAAGAAAAGAAAAATATATATGTATATACATACATATGTATATATACCTACATACATATACATATATAACTAAATTCACTTGTTCTTATCTCCCTGCTCTGCTTGTCTGTCCATTTCGTTCCTTTGCGTTTTGCAATTTATTTTTATGGCTTTTCCTTGACAGAAAGAAGCCTGAGCTAATGCATGTGAGGCGTGAACGTGTGTTTGACCTATTTACTGTTAGCACGCCAATACATGAGCATTCGTTCACATTAACATTAACATTTACATTATCTTTACAGGCGCCTATGGCACCGTTTATCGGGCACGCGACAATCTAACAGGCAAATTCGTGGCCATCAAGAAGGTGCGCATAACACTCACGGAAAACGGAGTGAGTGCATCGACGCTGCGAGAGATTTCACTGCTCAAGCAGCTAAACACATACGATCATGCGAACATTGTCAAGTGAGTAACTGCACACACATTATTATGTGTGTATGTTATCTGGGTGGCGCCCACTATTTGTTCACTAATTTAAAAAAAGTCGTTACGTTGAGCGCTGCGAACAGATTAACAAGCAATGACAATGACAATGGCTGTGTGTGTGTTTGTTTTCTACGGTTATTAACAACTTTCTTGTGTTTGTCTTTTTGCTTTACTGCCTGCTTCTCCTCAACTGACCTACAGCAGTCGCTAAAGCATGCGAAACTGTAACGGTCACAGCCAAAGAGGTTCATTACACCCCCAATACAAGAGCATGCACTCACACTCCAACAAGCGCCCATTAGTACAGTGACATGTGTATGTTAATAAAGCAAACGTCAACCAAGTGGCGCCTGCTTGCCCTGCGATGCTGATAACGACGTCGCAAATGTTATTTGCAACAATATTAGCAACAGCAACGGTTACAGTAGCAGCAGCACCAGCACCAGCTAATCTATTGCCTTGGTAAAGTGCACCTGAAAGCAATTTAGCCCCCTGAAGAGGCAGCTTTGTTTACAAGTAAACTTAACTTATGTATGTCAACATGTTGCGAAAATACTCTCTTTAGTACGCATCACTCTAGCGGCGGCGGCATATACAAATCACACTCAAACTCGCTCAGTACTAAAAAATGTCGGCGGACTCGCTCAACCAGCTCAGTGTATCTGCTTGTACCGCTCGACTCTCATCTACGGTATTACGATCAAGAGCAATTGAGTGGAGAGAAATGTTATGATTTATTTAACAGCGGTATGAATAGCTGTTAGTGCCAAAGAGCGCAGACAGCAGAGAGTTAGCGCTGCTGCTCTTTGAATAGATTAAGCGTTTTATTTATTATTAAAGAATTAAAAGCAATTAATTCGGTACATACAAATTTTATTAGTAATGCGAAAATTTTAAATGGAAAATATTAAAAAATTAAAATTATATTACCTACAAAATAATGTTTTTAAAAATTTGTAAATTTATAAGTAAACGTGTACAAATTTCGCATTCAAATTAACAGCGCTGCAAAACGTTAGCTAACAGAATGTTAGCATGAGATTCTCCATGCTGAGCCTGGGGCAGTGCTGTTATGCACTCTTCGTGCCCCAGCGTACGTGCTCTTGATCGAAAACTGTAGAGTTTTTTTTTATAAATTATATGAGTGGAGTGATTTTTGTAGTACACCAAATGTCCGCAGCATGCTAATGGCGTGTTGCACACCAGGTCGCCCTCCAAGAGAGCTCAGACCTACTCAACTGAAAAATTCTCCAGCACACACACATTTCACATTTATAATTTCCCCGCTCTACACTCTACAAATGCACACATTGACATGCTATAATTTGCTCCCCATTCGACAGACTGTTCGAAGTATGCCAGTTTTTGGAACGTGATGGCAAATTGTTGATTCTGCTTATTTTTGAGCACTTGGAACAGGATCTATCCGACTTGATCGAAGCATTGCCACCATGCGGCATGTCGCCCCTAAACGTCCAGGTAGACTATATTTTGCATATTTGAAAATTGTTATAAATGCATATCGATTTCAGCGCTTGGCTCGAGAGCTATTAACCGGAGTGGACTTTCTGCATGCCCATCGCATCATTCATCGCGATTTGAAACCCCAAAATCTGCTCGTTTCGTCGCAGGGCCATTTGAAAATAGCCGACTTCGGCTTGGCCAAGACGTATGGCGCGGACATGAAACTCACCTCCGTGGTGGTTACCCTGTGGTACAGGGCGCCCGAGGTGCTGCTCGCCCAGGGCTACAACAGCACCGTCGACATCTGGAGCGCAGCTTGCATCATCTTTGAGATGATTAAGTGTAAGCCGCTCTTCCCGGGCAACTCTGAGAAGGATCAGCTGGATCGCATCTTCCAGTGGGTTTTGCCCCCAGTTGAATGTCACCTCAATTGCCTATTGATTTGTATCTCTCTTACTATTGCAGGTTGACTGGCCGTCCAACGGAGCAGGAGTGGCCAAAGAGCATCTCCATTACCAGGGAACATTTTCCAGATCGCGCTCGCAAGCGACCCTCAGACTTCTGCCCGGGCCTATGCGAATTCACTGATGATTTGTTGAATGTAAGCACTTGTATACCTTACATGTATTATATGTTGACTAATATCTCTCGATTCCGCCTCAGCAAATGCTCGCGTATGACCTGCATCAGCGTCCCTCTGCGTTGGAGTGCTTGAACCACGCCTACTTCAAGAAGGAGCCACTATAAAGGGTATATCATGGCCCACAAATCCAAGCGAAATGCTGCAATGTTCCTTTCTATTATATATATATAATTTTGTAGATATATATATATATATGCACAGATATATATATATATATATCTATTTTATGTGGTATCTATCCTTATACATATATGTATATATTGTTAGTTGTAAAGATAACTGCTGTAAAACGGAACTCGAGAATTGCGGGATCCGTTCTAAAATGTGATACATCAAGTTCAGGACTAGAGACATGCTCAGGCATAATCCTATATATATAAWTATTATATATACCCCATATAAATAAATAATTATATTCAAAATTGCGCTGTTCGTAATAATTGTACAATTTACCACAATATATACATACTTATATTTTATATATATTTTTATACATATACACAACAATTTTTTGTAACCTTAATATTTTTGTTGTAAGCGCTTGAGAATAATGCATTTAATAAACAATTTAAACTCAAATGTAAATGAAGCGCTCATTTGACTACAGTCTTCCACTTATCATGCCCTCGCTTTTAACAGAGGATAAGTGCTCTCTCATTATAAGAGCTGCAATGTTAGTTTCAGTGCTGTAAAGCGACAAAAGTCAGCACTGCTAATTACGATATTTAATTTAACAGTGATCGTAGGTGAGATCATTATAAGAGCTAATGCGCTCTCTGACAGCATTTGCTGTTGGCTAACAGTTCATTGTGAGTGTATGAGTTGAACCAGGGCTGCATAGCTTAAAAAATGTATTTTATAAAAATATTGTTCGAATTTCTTTGGCTGCGCTGGAATGTTTACAATTCATACAATTTGGTAAATATCACACTTTCAGACTTAGGCTAGGCCAACAATTATATAAAATATCAATGGCAGCACCAGATTGTCCACCTGGTCGGTAAGTGCCTCAACTAAAGCTGCATTAAGTGTGGCAAAAATCGTGGCGAACCATTTCGCCTGGGTCATGACGAGGACGCCGCTCAGCTGCAGCAGCCCGACGGACAGCAGGATGGACAGCACAAAGGCAACAGTGCCCTCCAGGGAACGATTAGAGTCTGCAATGAAATTCTATAAGAAACTGTAAATAAATATATAAATATGTGATATACGCACTCCTCCACTTGTTGCGTCCATATTTGGAGCCCAGCACGCTGGCCGCTGTGTCGCCCACGCCCACTGTCAGGATGCCGGAGAGGAGCAGCAGCAGCAACTGACTGTCCTTGCCGACCCGCAAACAGGGACAGGGCGTCAGCCAAATGGGCAGAGCGCAGCCAATTAGCAGGCAGAAAGGCGTCAGCGCTAGGCCTCCTGCGTCCTTCTCATCCTTGAAGGAGTCGAAGGCTTGCGTCAGCGTCGCTGCAAACGGCGATATCTGCAGCAGCCTCAGCAGCTCCAGCACCACAAATATGGCCAACGCAACGCCCGTGGCCAGGTAGAGCAGAGTACACTGATAGATCAGGCCAGGCACAAAGACCAGCAGTATAAGCAGATGGAAGACCTTGCGAACGCGTGTGCTCGCCCGAGTGGAGCTCTTTAGCTGCCAGCTAACGGCACCGCAGGTGACGGCGACGAGCAGCAGATCACTCAGGATAATGAGAAGCTATGTAAGAGTGAGACGGAGATAGAGATATAGAACACTTTTATCTACTGTCCTCTAGACAAGTCGGACTCACTCGCAGTGGATCCTTCAATAGGAATTCCAGCAGGGCAATCAGAGGAAGAGGGCGTGTCACCGGCGCACAGGTCACAGCCAGGAGCAGCAGGACCATCAGCATGTAGAAGGGCAGCGGCTTGCGCAGAAATCTCACCAAGTGCAATGCCACACAGACCAGGAGCAGGCAGAGCAGAGCACTTGTCATTATGGCATTTAGCTGATTAAAATCCGTCGAGGGCAGCGTCCAAAGCCGACAAATGGCATTCAGGACGAAGAGCAAAACGCCCTGCACCATAATGGCAGCTTCCCCGAAGGTAAATGTCCTGGGCAAGCCACGGAATACTTTCACATACACAAAGTGATAGATGGAGGTAATAAGGAGTCCAGTGGGTAGAGCAAATGGCCAGCTTCGGTCCACACATAGACTGCTCACAATGCCTGGCAACAGGTGGTTCAATATAAATTGAATAGAGGTTGCCGCCTTAACGTACGAGGTGAGAAGAAACGTAAGTGTCCTGAGGCACATTCCAATTGCGGCCGCAATCAGAAGCCGATGCACTGCGTCCGTGGCGCCGCATTCCGGCTGTGCGTGCAAATAACTGGTGACTAGTGCGGCGGGCAACAACAAACATAGCCAGCCGCCTGCCGAAGCCGAGTGCCTACGACATGACAACAATAATTTACGAATAAATGAGAAAAGAAAAAAACAAAAATATAGCTCTGTTTACCTGGGCAAAAGTCGCTCGCACATCTTTTCTGTTATGCAGCACTTAAAGTGGTGGTGAGTAGTTTAGTAATCCAACTATCGATAACAACGTTGCTCCTCAGCTGTTAAATTTAACAGCGGAGCAGTGTGGTGGCTGGCTGATAGTCAGTGGGAAGTATCGATAGAGAGCAGATATCGACGTTGCTTGAGTGTAAACATTATAAATTATAAATAAATAAATGAGTCCCGTTCCGTCTGCAGCAGCGTCAAGTTCGAAGACACACCTGAAGTCGCAGCCGCGCGCTTACGTGCCATTATTTCGTGACTTTCGAGTGCTACTAACGCGGCCAAATCGCATCAAAATAGCAACGTTCAATAAATACAAATTGTGGCCCGTTGTCGTGTGTTAAATGTGCATTTAAAATTTCCCCGAAAGCGGATAACCGAAAAACGGAGAGTTCTTCTGTTCTACACACAGTGTATATTGTGCCAAATCAGAAATCTTTGAATATTTCTGAACACCAGCAGTGCATATACGAATATCATATATACACACTCACACTCACTGAAACACACACACACACAACCTGTGCTGCTTCTTCGGTTGAATCTATTTGTTATTGTTGTTACCGTTGCTGCTCATTGAATGTCCGAAAATAAAGGCATCATGCTTGCAAAATCTATGCAAAAACACGCTGGACGTGCCAAGGAGAAGGTAAGTTAAGAGTGCCATAAATACGTATGCTGAAATATCTGTTCGTATGGGTGCAGTAATTGGGCCAAGCAATCGGGGACATTTTCTAGGGCGTGTATTGCACCGCCCACCGCAACGCCCATCTGTAAAGTATCGTTTGGGGGCCGTGTCCCTGTCCTATTTCCAATGGAGCAGCCGACTGTGTACAATTAGAAGCTCTATAAAATTCATTGATTCCAGCTAACACAACACACCACACATACACACGCACATATAAATAGTTGGGCAAAAGAAAGTACAAACAACTTCACATCTACCAGCTTTATGAGTGTTGTAAAAGCTGTCACAGAAGATGCTCCAACGCCACCTGTCGCTAGGGCGCTGCAATAGGAAGCATTTCTCTGCTGTTGTTGTTTTCTGTTTCTTTTGGGCGATCAAGTTTCTGGCTACATTGATTTTCATCGCTCAATGTCCGTCGTCTTCGTCTCTCTGGCTCTTGTTTTATGCTTCTCTTGTTTCATCTATACCGCCGCTGCGTGTACAAGTGAAAGTTTGGCGCTCAAGCATTGGTCCAGGAGCGCTGCTCAGCTATAATGTGAATGTCAATACACGCACACAAACACACGCACATACACTTACACCTATGCATGTAAGAGAGTGTAAAAGAGCTGCATTTTGACCCACTCGCTGCTGGCACGTCGCGATGTCTTGTAAACAAGTTTTCGGCCACTGCTAAAGCAGCATTCCACAGCGGCTAGAAAATGCTGTAATCTAAGCTCTGAATGATGCTTTTTCTTTCTTTCGCTCGCTTTAATAGTTTCGCTGTATTGATTTGCTGCCATCTCGCTTACACTACCGATCTGTCTCTTTGACTCTGTGTGCATGTGTGTGTGAGTCTTGGCATTTACTGTTGAATTTCTAAAAGTTCGTTGGTATTTTCTATGCTGTCTGCTCTTTGGGATGAGGATGAGCAGCCCGAAGCGCTCGTGTTGGTCATTAAACTTGAACGAAATTCTTTGGGGCCTTTTCTAAATGTCGTATTGCAAGTTTTGAGTGTATTTTTAAACCTAAGCATCAGAGCATTCTATTTACTAACTACTTCCTGGAATGCAATTTGAGCAGATGAAACATTCGCATTAACTACATCACAGTAAAAACACTGGAGCATGAATTTCACGAAATAAATTAATATTTAAAACTTATTTTTAATCGTTAGAAATGGTTTAATATAATAAATAGAATATTTTTAGATACATATTTAAAAAAAATACTTCTAGATATATAAGATGTTTACTATTTTTTTTCGTAAATTCTTATAGCAAGCTAATTTTTAACTCATTAGAAATCTATATATGTAAGTCTTTGCATATGTATTAATATTTATTTTGTATTACTCTAAAAGACTTAAATTAGTAGAAATAGAATAGCAATTATGTGTACATTTTTTTCTTAGTAGAGCTTAAAATTTGTTCATTAGCAAATTAGAACATTCCATGTTAATACATTGCTTTGTTCATACGAATTAGTTCTGGATCCGGATCCGATTCGCTCTAATTGGCAAGTATTCAGAGTATTAAAAATTTGTTTGTAGAAGCACGAATTCGTCTTTACACCATATCCGAAAAATTTCTAAATGTTCTAATTTCTTTTCGAAATTTGTGTAGAGAGTAGAAAGAAGCAGAATTTGGATATTTCATAATTTGCGTAGAGTTTATTTTTAAAATTATAGACTAGTTTGTACCGAGCACGTTTCGSTGCGCTGCGCTGTGCTGCTGTGCTGCCCGGCGCTTTGTATTTGCGCATTGTGTGCTCATTTCAATAAATGTACAATATGTAATATATGAGAGATGCAGAGATAGTGAGATGGTCAAAGACACTCAGAGAGAGAGAGAGAGAGAGTATGGGTGAGAGGCGGAACAAGCTGCTTTGAGCGCACGCGTTCATAGCAAAGAAGACATACAGCATTTGGTTTAGAGAAAACTTGTCAAATCGAAACACACATTCGTGGCATAACTACAAGAAGCACAGACGCTCGCCTAGATACATTTTCGTTTTGGGTGCGTGACTGGCCCAACAACGTGAAAATGTCGCCTGGCAGTCAATCTTTAAATAGATGCCTCTTCACTCTTCCATTCGTCTACATAGTAGATACAAATGTATCTTTTGTTTTATAACTCGCCGCCTTCGACTTTTCTTTTTATTTATTTTATAGATATCTTAAGTTTTCATTTTCGCAAAAGCTACAACCAACACTTTTCTATCGCATAAGTAATTTTATTTTAATTTATTTCGTATGTGTGTGTGTGTATCTTCTTTTTTTTGCGAAATTTCGCCCGCGCTGCTGTCTCGCATATTTGTTGCTATTTTTAAGCGCGTCCCGCAACAGCTGCCAAAATTTGCTTTTCTCTTTGTTGCTGTTGACTATCAACTATTTCCCACACCCAACTTCTCAGTCTTTTTCTCCCCCTCTCCGTGCCTCTATCTCTGCTGAACTGCAGCAGCGATTGACATTTTATTGGCAGCTCAATTTTTAGAAACTCACAAACTTGCCTGTTGCATATTGAACTTCGTGTATGTTGTCGCTGCTTGCTGCTTCTTCTTCTTCTTCTTCGATCTTTAAATGTCAATTGTTTCTATTTAAGACAAGATTGCGTAAAAAGTCAATTATTTTCAGTTGTGCCTTAGCAATAAAAAGAACAAGCCTGTAATCAAAGCGAAATCAAATTGATTTTATACAGATTAAATGAGATAAGCATTGTTCATTCAACATTTCATTGTTTCCTTGTTTTTATTCCGTACTTAAAATAGTTTCGCATGCTTATGACTAACGAATCCATTAGAGGGGAATAGTCTTTGGTTTCTTTATCTTTAATTGCTGAAAGTTGATTGGAAATTCCCTTAGATTCGCAAAGTCTGTTGACTATATATCATTGCAAATCTATTAAAACACCACCTCAGCAGGTGCAGTTGTCATCTGCCAGCAAACTCATTCCATATATCATATTTGCCAATAACTTCTGCTAGTCTAGACAGACGCTCGTTTAAATACTTATATTACCTTTTACAAGGAAACCTTGAAACAGTATACATTTATTTCAATTTATAATAAAACAAAATGTAACCAAGTAAAATTCCTTAGTAAATAAATATATGTATAAATATTTCGTTGATTCAATTACATGTTTGAAGCTTGCTATAACTCAATGCATAAGGGCATATTCAATTCTTTTGGTGTTCCGTTGCAGAGTTCTGTTTTCCCAGGCGCAAACATGAAGTACTGTTGTTACAGTAATCCAAAACCAAAAGCAAATGCAATACCCGAAATCAAGTCGAATTCGTATCAGTTTAGGATAAACAAGTCTTTAAGTAAATACTCGGAATTGATTGGATCGAGAATAAGTGAAGCGCCAGCAGTTTGTGCGGCGCACAAAAATGAGTCTCAGACCTGATGAATATACTGACGAATATTCGCCTTGCTGGCTGACTATTACGGCCATATCGATGTGCAGGTGCAGTGTATACGCCCCTCCGGGCGACTCAAGCAAATGGGGGGTGTATACTCCAGCTGCAGATCGCTTATTAAGTGATTCAATCGAGCGCGCAGACAAGCGATTACAGCTGCTCGAATGAAGTGGCTACAAAGCACTGTCACAATCACACTCATACACACACACACACGCACACACACACATATAGATACAGCATTGAGTACGGATACAATTCATGCTGACGTGCACTGATAATGCTCTGTTGCGTGTCTCTGTGTTTGTGTGTGTGTGTGCTATAAGCCATTTGATTATGGGGTATATATAGAGAGGCGAGCTTATTAAAAAATTCAATTATAGAAATTGCCAACAAAAATCAACGCAAAGTGACGACTCCGCAATGTGGGAAATGTTTTTTTCTCCTTTTCTTTAGAGTTGTTGTTGTTGTTGCTTTTTTCTTCTTCTGTGCTTTAATGTTTTCTTTGATTGAATATGTCTCGTCACTTGGCTGATTGCATAACAATTGAATTACGTTTAGACATTTATCGGCACTTCACTTGATTCATTTCATGCAATTGTCCAGCAGCCACTACAACGGACGTTTCAATAACTCAACAGTTGCCAGTCTCTCTTCCAGCTGCCCCACTCCATCTGCTCCAGCTCCGTCCTCCCACACACACAAACAAACACACAATGGCCGGCCAGACAAATTGAATTCCCTTGCTGGATGTTCTTCGAGAAGTCGAGTGTCGGCGCATGAACTCTATGCCTATTTTCATACAGCTCATAAGTGCTTTGCTTCAACACCTTTGCGTCCGCTATAAACCACATAAATTTATATCATTCGTTCAGAAGAAAATACAAAATATGTATATCCCCATACAAAAAACAAAAACAATAAGACAAATAATAATCATTTCAAGTGAGCAGCCACATTTGAAGTGGTTGGCAAGGTCAATTAGTATTCGCATTGCTCACGGGTCGAATACGTAATTTTTGTGTTGTTAACTTTTTATTAGCTGCGGCCTCACGAACACACAGAACACACAAACACCAGCAGCAATGATATACCTACATATATCAGACATAGAACCTAGCACAATGTACCCGTTCGTGTACTGCAATTAATACGATCGTGTGATTGAATCGATCGATGTTGGCTCTATTCAAGCGTCAAATTGTGTTGCCATTAGCCTTAGCCTTGCCCAGACTTAACAGGCTTTTTTCTTCGTTGTTTGTTTTTTTTGCAACATGTATTTTTGGCAGCATTTTGAAACAGTCCATGATCTATTATAGATTTTGGCATGTCTGGAATGTTCCCAAAGTAGATATTGCAATATGCCAAAGTTAAAGAGTTGGCGCCCAATTGTTTATTGAATATAAATCTATAAATGAAATTTATGACAAATTGCATAAATTAAGTATACTTATCTGTAGTCGAGAGAAGTATTCATTTGCTGCATGATAGCACTGTATTTTGGCGTATATTATAAACTTTTGTTTTGGCTTATAAATGCTTTATGTAATTAATGAGTG